GGTGTTTACCATCATGGTTCCACCTGACCGCACCTTTTATGGCTGCAGCGTTTCACCATGTTGGTTTTCCCCTGACTCAACCCCTTTACTTCTAATGGCTAGTGTTTCACCATCATGGTTTCCACACCTGACTCAACCCCTTTTACTTCTAGTGACTGTAGTAACACCATGTCAGTTCCTGCAGCCACCCCCTTTTACTCCTAATAGCTGTAGCATTCTATATCATTGGTTTCACCAAACACCCCTTTTACTTCCTAATGACTGTAGCCCATTCCTGTGTGGTTTCCACACTGACCCTACATACCTCCCTAATGACTGTAGCATTTCACCATATTGGTTTCCACACTGACCGCACCCCTTTTACTTCTAATGACTGTAGTGTTCCCTGTCATCGGTTTCCACACTGACTCAACCCCTTTTACTTCTAGTGACTGTAGTGTTCCCTGCATCATCGGTTTCCACACTGACCGCCCCCTTTTACTTCTAATGACTGTAGTGTTTCACCATCATCAGTTCCACCTGGCTGCCACTTTTACTTCTAATGACTGTAGTGTTTCACCATCATCAGTTTCCACACTGACTGCCCACTTTTACTTCTAATGACTGTAGCGTTTCACCATCATTGGTTTCCACACTGACCCCACCCCTTTTACTTCTAATGACTGTAGAGTTTCACTATCACTGATTTTCACACTGACTCCACCCCTTTTACTTCTAATGATTGTAGCATTTCACCATCATTGGTTTCCACACTGACCCCCCACTTTTACTTCTAATGACTGTGGTGTTTCATTAACATTGGTTTCCACACTGACTCCCCACCCCATTTACTTCTAATGACTGTAGCGTTTCACTGTCATTGGTTTCCACACTGACACCCCCCTTTTAATTCTAATGACTGTAGCATTTCAACATCATTGGTTTCCACACTGACCCCACCTTTTACTTCTAATGACTGCAGAGTTTCGCCGTCATTGGTTTCCACACTGAGCCCCCACCTCATTCACTTCTAATGACTATAGTGTTTCACCATCATCAGTTTCTACACTGACCCCCGACCCCTTTCACTTCTAATGACTGTAGCATTTTGCCATCGTTGGTTTCCACACTGACCCCACCTTTTACTTCTAATGACTGCAGAGCTTCACCACTGAGCCCCCCACCCTTTTTACTCCTAGTGAAGTAGAATTTCATCATCTTTGGGGACCTGATTTATTTCCCCTGTCCTCTTTGTATGAACACTTTGCTTGTTTCGGTTTTTGCTATTTCAAAAAATGTTGCAATACACATCTTTCTTTTTTGTGTATATTTTGGGGGAACACATCTGAGTACCTACACAGGACAACAACTAGCAATGTATGTTTGGATTATGGGGCATAGGAATGTATTTACTTTTAATAAAAAGTAAAACATGCTCAAAGTTAAAAAAATCAATCCAATATTTGAAGAGTAAAAAGTATAGCTCCTTTCTATTCAAGCCCCCATCCCCTATTCTCAGGGGGGTCATCATTTTTATTTCTCTTTCTACATCTTACCTGTAATTCCCTATGCCAAGGGTTAAAACTTGGTCCCTTGTGGAACACACTGTATTTGATGAATAATTCTCATTGATTAGATAGGTAGATTTTATGAATGGAAAGGATGAGAGCGAGATAGATACCTACAAGGAGTGTGTTCGTCCCAAATCCGGACTAAGCAGAAATGTCCAGGGACATCCGATGGAGGTGAGATGAAATATTCAGACTTTGCTTTTTGCTTCCCTGACTGCCCTGCCTCCCAGGTATAATTGTAGTTCCAGTGAGTCCTTGGAGACCTACAAGCCAAATGAGATATAGATTGAGTCGTTCCTCTTGAATTTCACAGTCCGGAGTGCTGAGAGCCATCTGATGTTATGGCTCTGGTTAAAGAATTCTGGCCATCTAGCGGCCTGTAAAGGAGACTTGAGCACACACTAAGGCCTTGTTAGTGGGATTGGCGTGGTAGGAGGTCCAAGTGCAATACAGAAAGCTACAAAAAGAACGCACTGGTTCCAAAGCAGGGATGTTTATGGAAGGAAGAAGGAATTTCAGACACCCCGACATAGAGGCACCATTTGGAAGAACTACCAAAACCATATCAGTCTGATAACATTTAACCTGGAGGAGAAGAGCCCAGCCTTATTTGCAGCTTCTCCCTCCCCAGGTGTGGGAGGTCGTGTCTGGGGGGCAGAAAGGCCTGGGGGAGGAGATGGGGACCCGGAGTTTGTTTAGCACAGGCAGACACACGCGGTGGCTTAACGTGCACCATCTCACCGTTTAGTTTCTGATGGTAAAAGGTGGGATCACTTTCTCCATTCACAAGTGAGAAAAACCAGGCCCCCAAAGAGAAGGAATCGGGCCAGACTCCACTCATAGTGATCACTGGAGACAGCTGGAGAGGACGAGGCTGCATGTCCGCTCCATTTAAGAAGGCAGAGAACACGTATCTAATACAAAAACGTTTCCAGAAATATGGTTCTACAGAAAGGTTTTGGTCCTGAAAGGACTACGTTTCTATTATCTCAAAACTGCCTGCTGTGCAAAGTGAAAAGTCGCTATTTTCTTGGTGTTCAGTGGAAAGAATTGCAAACACTGAGCCCTGGGCACCCTTCCACTGCCCTCAGAAAGGTCTGGTTCTCCCCAAACAATCAAACTCAGGGCTCCCTTACAATGACTTTGGAGGGAGGGGCTTATTCTAATTTGGGGGATCCAATGAAGGAGGTTTCAGGGTGTGACTACAGCCTGCAGAAGGTGGGGATTTGTTCTGATAGTGACCAGGTAACAAGGGATTCGTGGGCAGGCCTGAGGCTGTGGCCATACTCTCCCTCTCCAGACACGGGATTCCCAGATACAGGAGGGGGTTCAGTCCTGCCTGGGCGAGTCTTCCTTCAGTCCCCATTGGAGACAGCGGCTTGTGCCCCAAGCTGAAACAATCTCTTATTAGAAAATAAGTCCATGGTGATTTTACAGAAAACAAAACATGAAGGAAACACTCCAGGCTGGGGGTTGCTTGCCCCAGTGAGCAGTAAAAGCAGGTGGAGGGGACACTTTCTGGCTGCTTTTCCTCTTCCTCTTGCCTCATGGCTCTGGGCGAGTGCGTCGCTGCAAGGCGCTCAGGGAGCCTGGCCTACCATTGCCACCGAGGGCAGGCGCCTGTGTGCAGGGACCTGGGGGGCCCATGCCTGAGTAGACAGCCGGGGGGTCGCAGGGATGGTGGGACAGCCAGCCCTGCTCCCTGGTGACCATGTGCACACAGCCTGCTTCCTCCCTCCGAGAGGCCTCTCTCGTCATGAAAAACAACGGATATTCATTCTACAGGCTTTGGGAACTAGCCTTTGTTCCTCCTGGCCCTGGAAAAGTGGCCTTAATCCAAAGTGATTACTCTGCAGCTCCCTCAGATTTATTCTTCAGTGATAGCCTCTCCTCTGCCGCCTGAATCTTGAGCTCCAATTGCCCGCAGCCTGTCACAGAAGGGCCATATGTCTTTCTGTTCCTGTGTAGAGAATGACATTGAAGTCTCTTTGTCCGCTCTGAAGCTTTTGTGTGTGTGCGTGTGGCGTTGACCTCCGTGGCTCCTTCCACCCGCAGTGAAAAGGAGCCATAAAAAGCACAGGGGTTGAAAAGTAGCCCAGGCAGAAGGAAGGAGCTCCCGCCTGGATGCTCGTGGGGTCCCTGCGTCTGTCTCCTTTGGCCGTTGGCAGCACTCGGACTCTGGTGCGGGCAGCTGGAGGCGCGCCTGGGTATTGTCTGGGCAAGGGTGTGTGGGTCAGCCTCCTTCCTTGCTGTCCCTGCCATCTATTGTCTTTCTGGGCAGGCTGAGAAGCACGTCTAATAGGGCTTATGTTCTTTGTTGCTGGGTCATTGAAGCTGCAAGGAGGAGGATTCCTTCTTCCCTTGAGGGTCTCAGTTCCTGGCAGAGCAGACTGGCCGATTGTCTTGATACCAGGATTTGGGGAAACCCCCTTTCTCCATTCTGGTGTTGCCTTTTTGCCTGCAGGGGACCGTGCTGTCTGCCTTTAACCTGATGCTTTAAGTCTTGCAGAGCCCTCCAGAGGGGCGTGGGAGCACATTGCCCATCTCTCCTCCACTGTCCCTCCACCATTTGGCATTTATATCCAGCAGGAGACAGGACATGCAACAACTTCATTTCCTGGTTGCCAAGTATTGATTGAAAGGTGTGTGTAGCCACACCCACTTTTCTGCCTGTTCAGAGTAACGTGTATAATTTCTTTGGTCGTTGTGTCTTGTCTCTGCTCAATGTGTTTTGCATTATATAAAAAAATAAATTTTCAAATTAACTGCAGTTTAGCTGTGACTCAGTTTTTAATTGCTTGGAATTAGCACTTGATGTGCATAGTACTTGATTTGTCAGTTATCTGTGACTTTGTGATTATCTGCGCTAAAATGGGGGACCCTCCTGATTATGCTCCATAATGGAAAGGGGCAGTACAGTGGGGGATCCCATGATGGGAAAATCCAAAACCCACCGTGGTTTAATGCTGCCAGGCATGTGTCTTTCTGGTTCGGAGGAACGTGCTGCTCGTTCTTGAAATTCACTTTTCTGGAAGAAACGGCAACCATGAACACTGGGTCAGAGGCGGGGAAGCTACCTGGCTTCCACTGGGTCCCTCCCATTCCACCCATCTTGGCCTCCCCATTCTCTCTGTCCAAGGGCGGTGACAAGCTTTGCCCTGACCTGAGCCCACATATCTAGGTTTGTACCTTCTCTGGAGTGAAAGAGGAGATGAGTTATTTTAATCTTGAAGATCCCAGGTCAGAACATCAGGTTTCTAGTCCAAGTTCTGCCTCACTGTCCTCATTATCAGATGAGAGAGGGGGTGCACTGTTCCCCCAATCTGAGACCCAGGGTATACACGGCTGGAGCCAAGTCTCACAGCTGGGGAGGAGCGGCTCTGGCACTTGAGTTCAGTTTGGCTCCAAATCTGTAGTGAGTGGGGGTCTCCCTTAGGTAAGCAGGTTAAGATCCTTTTGTGGTTCATAAGCGTGATGATGGGGTTTTCATGCTCGCGTGTGGGATGTGCCTCTCTCAAGCCTTGTTATGACATCACGTTACCTGTCTGATGTTAAAAAAAAGAGAGAAGAAAAGAATAACAAGAACAACCACAGAAAGCCCCTCATCATCTCTCTGGGGCGTGCCGTGGGGCCGTTTCTGCTGGGGTGGGCCTCGGAGCCCTCTGGCTGACTCTGCTGCAGCACAGAGCCCCACCGTGCCGATATTCCGTGTGCTGGTCTGGGATGGTTCCGGCGCCCACGGCCTGGTGTGGTCAGCAGCAGGGTTTCATTCAGGTCGCTCCTTCCTGACCACACTGTGAGACCTGCAGGCAGAGGCTGACCTGAGTCACCTTTAGGGTTCCCCAGGTGAGCTCTTGAATGTGTCCCCAGACCACCCAATCTCTCTGCTCCCACTCCAGGTCCTAACAGGGTCCTCTAAATCCACAGTTCTTACAGGGGAAGTCTGCTCACTTGGGAGATGGCCCTGTCCCTGAGCGCCCCCCATGCCCTCCAGAATGGAGAAGACACACAATTCTTCATTTGGATTACGTGAAACGTTGGACCCTCTCTGTGATATGGACAGGAAACTGGGAGGTGCTGAGTAGAAGACCAAGGTTCCCTGGCAAAGGCCCCACCCTCAAGCCTGAAGACCTGAGGACCTAAATGAGGACAGGCGTTTCTGTTTTTCACTAAAAAGTTGCCTTTTGGCCCACTCTGCTCCCTATCCTGTCCCCATATAAACTCAAGGGCACACGTGCAAGTGGCTGAACGTCAGGACCAGCAGAACCGGCAGACCAGTGACGGCAGAACAACGAGGCACAGAAAGAGAGAAGCGGAGGGACATCTGGAGGCCGAGGGGAGTTCAGCCAGGGGTGGCTGGAGAAAAGGCCAGCAATGGACGGCCCGATTCCAGGTGAAGACCACCTTCCCTCTCCATCCCCTCCTTTGGGCTCCCCATGCATCTCACTGAGAGCCACCTCCTCCACTCAGTACAACCTTGCACTCATTCTTTACGCCCACATGTGATCTGAATCTTCTGGCACACTGGGCAAGAACTCGGGATACAGAATGCTGTCATACTAGCTCCCTGCCCTTGCAATAAGGCAGAGAGTCCATCATGCTCATTAACACACAAGCCATCTGCAGATGGCAAATCTAAAAGAGTCTGGTAACACACACCCATTTGGGCTTTGGGGGTTGCAGACATCTACCTCTAGATGCTGCTGTGGAGCCAGAGCCCAAAAGCGCTTGTCCCAGCCTCGGCACCTGCCCGTCTGCCTGCTCCCCTGAGGGTTTGATCTGTGGGGTGACCAAGCAGGTGATGACCCTGTTGCACATCCTGCGAGGGGAACTCTCTGGTTGCAGCTGCATGGGGATCGCCTCACCTTTGCAACCCGGCTTCTGTTACTTGAACACAGAGCACCTGCCCTCAACGTGGGATGTGTCTCGCCTCCAAGCTCCTGTGTCCTGGGCATCCCTTCCCACTGCTCATGTCATGAAGCCTACTTGGCCTTCAAGGCCTAGATCCAACGCCACCTCCTTCACAGAGGACACCTGGATGTCACCAGGTAGGCCATTAGTAATACGACAGCAATGTGGCCTAGATCCAATGCCACCTCCTTCAGGAGGACACCTGGATATCGCCAGGTAGGACAGAAGTAACAAAATAGCAATGTGGCCTAGATCCAATGCCACCTCCTTCAACAGAAGTACAAAATAGCAATGTGGCCTAGATCCAATGCCACCTCCTCGGGAGGACACCTGATATCGCCAGGTAGGACAGAAGTAACAAAATAGCAATGTGGCCTAGATCCAATGCCACCTCCTTCAAGGAGGACACCTGGATGTCACCAGGTAAGACATTAGTAACACAAAAGCAATGTGGCCTAGATCCAACACCACCTCCTTCAGGAGGACAGCTGGATCTCAAGCAGGTAGGATATTAGTAACGTGATAGCAATGCGGCCTAGATCCAACACCGCTTCCTTCAGGAGGATACCTGGATCTCAGCAGGTAGGACAGTAGTAACATGACAGCAGTGGGCACTTATTAGCACTTGCTGTGCCCGGGGATGTGCTAACACACTTTATGGATGTGGCTGCATTCCGCCTCAGGGCTCTCCGTATAGTCGAGACTCTTGTTTTTCTCTCCCTGTGGGTGAAGGACCTGAAGCTTGGGGATGTCGTGCTTTACAGGAGGCAGAACCGTGTTCCTGGTCCGCCACATCCGTGTGCTGGACCGTGGGATGTGCCTTCCAGCGTAGACCGATCCCACAGCGTTTTGTCTGCTCCTCCTCGTGTCCTTTTGAATTTCTAAATTTCTTGGCATTTCTGAATTTCTTGTCCTACTCAATGTCTCACATGTATTATTTATTCTTGCCTTATTGCTTTGAATTTGTGGCCATAAACTCTTTGAAGTGGGGGAGCTATTTTTCCCAGGACACTAGCACTGTGTCTTGTACAGGACGGGTTATATTAAATTTTGTTAAGCGAAAGGGTTGATGACATAGTTGAAGTATGAGTTTGTTTTACTGGCTGGCGGCGTTGAGCACCCCCTGAGGCTATGCAGGCTCTGTTCTGAGTGTCAGCACAGACGGCCGTGTGGGTGGCTCCCTGACGTTTCTCTACCTGCGGTGGGTCGCTGCTGCCTGGGGACCGTTGAGGTTGACAGGTGCAGCAGGAGCTGCTGACGCCGGGCCACTGCGTTCTGGAAGGCTAACCGTGTGTCCCGTGAGGAGGGTTTCTTCTCCCTAGTAGCTGGCATTCCTCGGTACTTTGGATGAAAGATTGCTTTTTCCTCTGTTTGTGGTGTGGGTAAAATCCATGATGTTGAACGAGAAGACATTAAAGGGATGGAGTTCTTTGTTTTGCTGAGGTTTTGCTTTTCTGCCTTTGCAAAATCAATGATGTCTGTGTGGTCCAGAAAGGAATTAATCCTGTGTGGTGTAAATGGCTGTGGCTTGACAATATCCAAACCTGAAGTGTTCCGCCTGCCTCTGCCCAGTGCTCTAATGCGGGTGTCCAGGGTCAGGCAGAGGGGCCTTTCCCAGGCTGCTCCCTATAGAATTGTCGGGTTATTTGCATTGATTAGATTTTGTCTTTTCTTTGAGAAAATGTTTATAGTAATCTGGTTCCCTCTCTGAGTTAAACAATAATTAAAAACACATAATAAAACAAGCTCCCTCCGGCATCTCTTCGGCTCCCAGGGTTGGGGATCGATTCTGCGGTGATCTGGCTTTGCTGTGGATTGCAGAATGTCTGCGAGTTCATCAAAAGGTCTTCAGTCAATACCCTTCTTTTCAGCTTGCACCCCATGGAGCAATGCCTAAGCCAGCAAGGAAAAAGCAGGCAGGCCACGGGTTCCTCCAGCCCGGACCCTTCCCTGAAGGATTGAAATTGTATTACACGCGAACTGTGGTTACCTTTGTCAAATAGCACCTTCCATCAACTTTTGTGTTTTGGTGTTTCAAAACCTTCGGTTTCAAGAGGTCATAGAATTTCTTAGTAGAGAAAGACCTCAGGACATATTTAAGTGTTTACCAATGATATTTTAAAAGCCATAACTTTAGAGAAAGAACAAAAACCATGAGGAATCCATACCCTCTTTTCCTGCCTCTCTCTCCCTCTTTCTTCCTGTCTTTCTCTCTCTCTCTCTCTGCCCCTCTCCCACCCGCCTTCCTCTGACCTGAAGCTCACATGTGCTCAGTGTGTCCTCTGGGCCTGGCATTGTTCTAAGTGTTCTCTTGTGGATCAGCTAATTAGTTCTCCTCTCAGCTCTGAGAGGTGGGATCTGATGCTCCCATTTTGCAGATGAACAAGCAGAATCACAGTTCTGGGGCTTTCTCAAGGTTACATGGCCGGTAAGTGGCGGCATCCAGACCCAGGCAGGCGGCTCCACAGCCCACACTGCGTTCTGTGGCCTCCCTCTTTTTATGCGTGTAATTCATCATCTGTGTGCTGCAGTCTCTGAGCCCCTTTCTGCCTTGTCATCCAGTCATTCAGTTTGAATAAATATTTCTTCCATGCCTTCTTGATGCCAAACCACAACCTGGGAGACACAGCAACAAATAAGATGCTGCCTGCACCCTCCAAGGGGCTGCAAGCAGCCCGGGGAGGAGAGGAACTAGAAGGCACCTGCGGGTGACAGAGGATGGGGGATGTGGGGGCAGCTGGGCTTATGCTTTGAAGGTCCCTCCCAAGCAGTGTGGATCAGGATTTGGAAAGGGAGGAGGTGGCCGCAGTGGTTCAAACTGCCTCTTAGTTCTGGCAGCGTGATGTCATGGTTCCGGGTACGGATTCCAGAGCCACATTCCCTGGGTTCTACTCCCACCCCAGGACAGGCTGGAATAGAAAAATGGCAGATTTTTCCAAAGTATGGCTGCGAAAGATCAAATCTGTGAGATCTAGAAAAAAACAGTGCTTCATTATCATTTGGAGGACAGGTGGGCCCAGCAGACCAAAGAGGAGGCCAGGTCAGAACATGGAGGTGGGTGCCTCGTGCTCCAGGTAACAGGAAGCTGGAGCTAAACTGGCTTGAGCTTGTTCAACACTAAAGACACGTGTTGGGTGTGGAAGGGGAAGTCCAGAGGCGGCGTGAGCTTCAGGCTCCTAGAGAACCCTGATTCTTTCTCTGTCTCCACTGTGATGCCACCAGCATGGTACAGTCTTCAGTGGGACCTCCCTAGGGTGGCAGGACACAGCCCACAGCAAGCAACAGCACCTCTTATCTGTCTCCAGCAATGAGAGCCTGCTGCCCCAGGCTGTGCTGGACCACCTCCCGTGCTACTGGCCCCCTCCTGGACTAACGCCAGGCAAGGGGAGGGGGGCTACTTTCGTCAGCTTTGACCTGTTGGGAGTCCGGAGTGGAGTCAGTGTCTGCTGAGCCCATGGCATGGCACAGGTGGACACACAGACATCATTAGAAGGGGAAATTGTGCTTCTGAAAAGGCGGCTGAAAGTACCCACTTGTTGAATCAAGATGTGGAATTCCTCTAATTTACTGAAGACCAAGGCTGCCCTTTCCCCTGACAGCATTGCTGGAACAGAGCACTCCAAGAATAGGTGCTTTGGTT